CATCCTTTATTTATTTAACTCATTTGCACACAATCCGTATTTAAGTGTCAAGCCTCGGCTTTAATAGCATGCTTATTTCCTACTTTCGTTTTCCATTCTTATAAATAATGATTTCTTGTGTGCATGTAAACTTGTATAATACATCATTAATCCCAGCTTGTATTATAATATGCAGCGTTGAAATTATTAATTCGTCCCTATATTTGTTTGTGTACTTTTACAAGGTTTTATCTGAGAATATGTTCTTTAGTAAAACGTGAGCTTCTGAATATGGCTTACCAACTTTCCTCTACATTTCTATTAAAGATATTTCCACAATTCACCTGATTTTATGTTTCCTAGTCTAAGTGTGACGTTTTTGCCATATTTTTAGATAATTAGTTTACTAAAAAAATTATTTTAATCATTATGCCTTGGATTTTCTTATCTTCATGATCTACTCTAGCAACTTGTTTTGCAACCTCTCTCTTGCTCTATAGCTTCTTCCTCTATCTCAACCCGTGCTTCTCGACCACGCATCCTCTGGGCTGGCTTTTTCTGCCTCCCCGACCTATCCTCGCCACCACATAATTTGGCCGATCTTGTCTTGTCACAGAACTCTACTTCTATTCTTGCTGATATTCCTTGTGAAAGTCATATGCAAAGTGGTATTGGTGGAAGCGAGGTTCCTTTTAGTGCTTCTAGTCCAATACCTAACGTAATTATCTCTCCCGGACCCGATTCTAGCCTCACACTTGATTCGACGACTTCTGCGGTAAGTTGATACTTAAGCGTTTGTTTCTTTCAATAGCATAATTTCTAATCACCATTAAGTTTAAATTCGAAAGAATGAAAAATACATAAATTTGCATACATAAATTGCACTAAGTCATGCTTTCTAATAACTCACCCCTGTTATATATGTATTGTTATACTGCCGTTGTCTCACCTTTGCAGAATCAATATTTTTGTTTTGTTATTTCATTTGCCATATGTCTTGCAATAGTACATTTCTCTTGTTTTTGTTCTTTCCAAACGGTATTTCCAATCTATTCTCGTGTCTATGGCCAAGCTATTTGTCTTAACGGTATAATGTATCCCTCTGTAATAGTTCATTACAAATAAAGAATTATCTCATTTCTCTATCTTAACACTAGCCATCGGCCCTGGGCTTTATGTATATCTATTCCATTGCAACCTAGACTACTTACTCCTAATCTCACAACTGTATTATTGTATTATTGCGCTTGCTTCTAATTTATTTCTGGGATAATCTATCCTAAGGCTACTTTTTTCAACTCACCATCATCTATCCCTTACGCAGGCTAAACGAATTTTCCTCCACATTTGCCCGGATACTCGCGGTCGTCGCGAGGCCACTTCCTCCCTTTTCTCCGGCGACGATTCGACATCGCCAGGTGTTCGGGAGTTGAGCCGCGCGACCACTCTGACGAATCATCCAGTCGCTACTGATGCTGCACAAAATCACCTTCCCCTAATTGATCCTTCCCATAATGCCTTAGCGGCTTCGGGGATCGCTTTATCCCAAATCCTGCAGAATTCAACACCTACTTCGGATATTTCCTCTTTATCTTTAAGCTCTTCCATCCAAGTTAGCAATCTTCCTACTTCATCCCTATCATTGCCTGGGACAACGATAAATTCCAGTTCCAGTTCTTCTCGATATTCTGGTCATCTCAGCTTGTTGGCGAACTGGGATGGTGTTTTTCCACCACGACCTCCTCGACAAGAAGATATAATAGTAGGTAACGATGAGCTAAACGGAGGCGAAGCTGACCAAGGCGGACCCATCAGGACTTTGCTTGATGGTGGAGATCGTCCAGCAACCTAGTGCATCCGCTTCTAGTTCTGATGATACAGATGTAATCTGAAATAAGGCAGAACTTTATTTTTACACTAATTCCGCCTTGTCCAAATTCTTTTTTATTTTTGCTATTCTTTTGCTTCTCTTTTGGTTTATATGTACTATATGTATGTGTGCATGTATGCACACACGCACACGTTTTTTTAGTTATTTATTTCTATTAAATTTTCTGATCCCTTCACGCCGGTTACATCTACGACTAGGAGTGCTAATTTTTTCGAAATGTCTCGCAAATTTCTTATTGTCTTTTTACGTTTTTTAACTTCAAAATCTATTTAATGCCGTTCGCTTACCTGGCTCCAAGTTCTATTCTCCGATAGAAATTCCGTTAGTATGTTCCTTTTTTTTCTTTATCCCTTGTATATCCATGCCATATTAACTTATGGATAATTCCGTGTTCGAGTAGGATGTGATAGGATGTACCTGCTCTTGAATAAAATAAAATATATTTACTTTTTTACAATTGAATTTTTTGGCAAGTTAAATAATCTATTTCATATAATTTTGGTCATAGTAAGTTCAAAATCTATTTAATTTTTTATCCAAACAGTTAACCATTTATGTGCAAAGTTTTGTTTGCAAAGCATACATACTAGCGAGAAAGGCGGAACCTGTGAGAAACTTTGCAGTCTTATTTGAACAATTTTGAATAATGTCAAAGATTATTTTAGATTATGCCGGATTTTGGTTTAGTATAAGCGGAGGTTTAAGTGAAAAAAGTCAGGCACGTTTGGAATTAATACAATATAATTGTGGATTAACGTTGCTTTAGGTAATAAAATGAATTGAAAGTATGAAGACCAAGATCTAGTGGCATTTTGTGTGGTCGCATTCTCTTTTCGTTGCGTATACCTAGTTTGACCTTGTTTTCGCATCTTGGTCATACTGGTATGAAGACTTAGAGGAACTCGCCTAGTCCGGCGTCCATTGTATGCCTGATCATTTCCAGAGTCTAACCGTGGACGCGGTTCATTCCCAGACGCTTCGCCGGCATCGTCAGTGAACATTGCCAATCTTAGCACCAAAGAGACAAGTAAAGCCGACCATTTGACCAAATGTGTGCTAAACAATTGTGGTATCTCTCCTTCTGTCCTAGGCTATTCACCTTTCCTATATCGTATCACGCCTTCACTATCACCATTTTGTACTTGCTTATTTGAATGTGGTATGTTGTCCCCTTTTGAGCGGCTTTCATGAGAACACTCCACACTCCACACTGGCTTTCTCACACCCTCATACCACTCTTGTGCTAGGAATGTTTATTAGATTCTACCATATTGTTTCGCAGTCCTCGTCCCATAGGTCTTATCAGTCTTTTTCTCTTGCCCCGTAGGATCCGTCTCCTATTTCCCTGGTTCAAGTATTTCACTCGACCCCTGCAACCCATATCTGCTGCTTAAGGTCTTACTTCCCACACTCTGCCTCTGAGAGACGAAACTCGCAGTGATGGCTCAGAGTAATTAGTACAGCAAAAATGAACGTCTGTTTTTGGCCATCAAGGTTTGATAAGCCCTATCTCCCCCTTTCTAAATTTAATTTATAACTATCACTCCGATTGCTGTACTAATTGCTCTGAGCCATCACTGCAGTTTTCGTGCATAAGCGAACACAAACAGGCACATACAAATACAGAGACAGACACATCCACATGCATTGAAGTTGACATATGACCTTAACTAACCAAATCCCTTTATACTTGATCAAGAGGCCAGATGTAAAGTACATATACCACTTTTTAGGAATTTGCCGGTGAGTTTTTTTGACTGGTTAGCTTGAATTTTGTTGTGACGATGATACCTCGCTCTGATAATGTTCGTCATATGACGGACGAAAGCTTAGCACCTTTTCACCGAAATCGAATGAGATTACCTCGGCAACAGCGTCAGCATGAATCTGTAAGTAAAGCCAATCGACAATGGTCAAGAGGAATCTGCTGTCGTCTTCTGATGGAACCGACCTTCGAATCTCTTCACCCAACACTTTCACCCGAAATGGAAGTAAGCTCAACAATTATGTAGGAAGAGATTCCTCGAAGCCCAGCTTTTCTTCGCATATATTACGTACGTATGGTATGAATTCTTATTAATTTTCAAGAAATCTATATCCCTGAAAGTAAATACTATAAGATTAAAAAAATTGTATTTCACATAATGTAGTTTCTAAATATTGTATTCTTGGTAGATGTCCAGATTTACGCATTTCTACTAATAGGAAACTGGAGTATGTATCAGGTGGTTTGGTTAAGACTAGACTATATGAAAGTATAGAAAAATTACATGATCTGATTAGAACCCAAACAAAGACTAGATAAGATAATAAGGAATTTATGCATCAACATCAGCCCAAGGAATATTCGAAACAATAAGGAGGTAGTTAAACTTAGTACTATTTTTTCTAGCAAAAATAAAGTCATTAATTTATCCGGTATACCTATAGATGGTAATGTTACGCTCGCCTTGGAAAAGGGCTTAAACTTTACATTTCCAAATGAGCAAAATTATTCTATGGCTATACTGGTTGAGTTAATTAACTTAACGGACAAGCTGTCAGAAGACGCTAAGAATAGTTTAGAAAGAGAAGTGATTGCTTATTTTGATGAAGTAGTTATTCCAAAGACATCGTATGACTTGAATAAGGTTACTAGATATTTGTACCATAATGATCTATTTGTTTTAAGGGCAGATAAAGGTGGTGCAGTGGTCATCGTGGATAGGTTAAGTTATAGAAAAAATGTTAGTTCATTTAAATGACTCAGCAACCTATATACTTTTATTGAAGGATCCCACAGAAAGTCTTAAGATCAAACTTAGGGAATCGCTTAACATTTGTGTAAACAGAGGAGAAATTGAAAAGTGGAAAATAAATTCACTCCTTCAGAGGGATGCAAAGGCACCTTCGGCTTACGGCCTTCCAAAAGTACCCAAGGAATGAGTTTCTTAAAGATCGATTATTAATAACAAGGGTACTGTGGTGGATAGGATCTCACGTTTTTTATGTAGACGACTAAGGAAATTGTCTGAGTATTGGAAATATTCAGTGAA